CAAGAATGGAAGAAAAAGTATCCAATGTACACACCCCTATTATGAAACTAATTTATACCTTTTATATGAAAGCTATAACCTAATAACAGCCTAAGAATATGAAGAGGAGGGAGAGAAAGGGGAGGGAGGAATGGGTGGAGGGAGGGGGATTGGAGGGATCACTTCTGAGGTTTATCTTACAAGGGTACAAGTGAATCTTTCTAAGAGTAGAACGGATAATGTGTAAAAACCCACCCTGTACCCCAGAAGTGCATTAATGTACATAGTTACCATTCAATTAAAAAAAAAGAAAAGAAAATACAAATTACAACTACATTGAGATGCCGCTTGACTCCCACCAGAATGACTGAAGAAAGAAGACACATAAGACCAAGTGTTGGGGCTTGGCACCTGTAGCTCAGCACCTAGGGTGCCAACCACATACACTGGAGCTGGTGGGTTTGAATTCACCCCAGGCCTGCCAGACAAGAATGACAACTACAACCAAAAAAAAAGAAAAGAAAATAGCTGGGGATTGTGGTGGGCAACTGTAATCTCAGCCACTTGGGAGGCTGAAGCAAGAGAATCACTTAAGCCCAAGAGTTTGAGGTTGCTGTGAGCTGTGATGCCACGGTACTCTACTGAGGGTGACATATTAAGACTCTGTCTCAAAAAAAAAAAAAAAAAAGACCAAGTGTTAGCAAGGACGTGAAAAATGTTGAATCTTCTTGCACTGTAGTGTGAAAATAAAATGACAGATTTTTTGGTGAACAATATGGCTGTTTAAAAAACATTAAACATTAACTTACCATTAGACCCAGCAGTTTTACTCCTAAGAATCTGCACAAGAAAAATGAGAAAAACACATTTACATACAAACACTTTCCTGACATTATTTATAGCAGCTTTGTACATAATGGGCCCAAAATAACTATAAACAAATGTCCTTAACTAATAAATGGATAATCAAAATGCAGTACAAACATATGACAGAATAAAAAAGTACAAAACAGGGTAGCACCTGTGGCTCAAAAGGGTAGAAAGCCAGCCTCATATGCCAGAGGTGGCAGGTTCAAACCCAGCCCGGCCAAAAACTGCAAAAATAAGTACAAAACACTGACATGTGCAACAATACGGGTGAACTTCAAAAACATTAAGCTAAGTGAAAGAAACAAAACATGAAAGACTACATATAATATGGTTCTGTTTATATAAAATGTCCAGAAAACAAATTCAGAGAGATAAAAAGGAGATCTGTGCTTTTCTAGGGATAAGAATAGGAGTGAAGATTAACTGCAGATTTATTGATAGTTGTACAAGTCTATAAATTTACCAAACTTACTATGCACCAAAACTCATTTCTTGTTTGGCTACTTGTCATGTCTGGTATCTAATTTGCTCTACACTCTTTCTTTGGATGATTTTACTAACTCCTATGGCTTCAACTGTCATATAAATCCTTAAAATTCTCTAATCTCCAAGCCAAATTTATTTCACAAAGCTCAAATTGGCATTTCTAAATGCGTATTGAAAAAAATGTAACCAGATATTCCACAAACATCTCAATCTTAATTAATTTGTTTCCCTTTATCTTTACTCCACTTTTACTATCAATCTTATACTCCCTCGGATAACTTTCATAAATTCTTCCAGTCTCTATATTAAAGTATAACTTCTTCCTAATTCTAAGATACTTTTGTCAAACACTAATTTTAAAAAATGTATTACAGTGTAAATTCTTAACTAGTAAGAAATTACTAGTGACCTTTAATTTCTGTTTTCATGAATAATGATAGTGATTATTAAGCTGATATTTTACTATACAATGTGGCCAGTCCTTGTCCTCTTATTATCTTATGTCTAGACTTAGCAATGAATAAAATAATTTTACTGTAATATGATTTACATTTTAGTGATAAAGACAAGGGAATAAACATAAAGTAACAGGATGTCACCTCTAATACAAACTAATCCACATTGCATCCTAGAGAAGAACATAGGAAACATGTCTTTGAAATTAGGTTTCTTTCCCCCTCTGGCCACTCTATGGAGAAACCACTGATTAAGAAAAGATTGGGGGTATTTTTTTTATCAATCTCATAAAATGTTTGCAAGTTGAAATTGCCACATTTTAATGTTTTCATTTTCATTTACCAGATAATTAATTAGATTGAATTTTTTTTCTTCTGTATGGCCCTTTTATCCTCCTTCCATGAATCACCTTTTCATATCTTTTCTCATTTCTATGAGTACTCTTTTTGTTTCTCATTTATCTGTAGGAGCACTAGATTGGAATGTGGAATCAATGATTGCCTGGTTGTCAGGGCCATGACTGGAACTTGTTGGGGGTGGGGTTGGGACAAGTTGGGGCTGGGTCGGGGTGGGGACAGAGGCTGCTCACAGGAGGGGTCAGGTCCTCAGGTCAGTCTCTCTGTCTTAGGAGATAGTTTGGGCCAGATCAGGACTTAGGATCAGGGTGGAATAGGGGAGGAATCAGAGGCTGGGCATAGTAGTGGTCAGGGCCTGGTCAAGTCTATCTTTTTGAGGGGTCACAGGAGTGTCAGGACATAGGGTCACAGCAGGTTCAGGGTGGAGTCAGTGTTCACTGCCCCTCCCCTCCTTCCAGTTCTCGTGAACAGTCATGGATGGGGGAATTGTGAGGATCCAAGGATGGCTGGGACCCATGCTCTGGCCATTGTTGTTGCTGCTGCTGCTGCTGCCCCTGAGCTTGGAGGCCTCCTCCACCCGACACATCGATGGCTACAGCTCCAATCAGGCTCCTCATGAGGCCAGAGGGACCCAGGAGGCCCAGGAAAGCCAGCAGCTGGCAGCCGGTGAGCCCCTGGGCTCCTCAGCCCAAACTCAAGGTCTGTTTGAAGCAGAGCATATGTGGCTGAGCTAGGCTGGTGAGGAACAAGCAGAGGAGCTAGGGGCAATAGGGTACAGGTGCTTGGAGATCATCTGAACAGGGATGGGGATATAGGAGTGGACTAGCACAAAGAAGGATGGGAGGAGATGGGGGGCTGATGGGAGTTGGGGGGAAGGCAAGGAGACATCAGAAAGTATAAGCCAGACTAGGGTGTAGGGAAGCTTGAGGGCCTAGCTCAGGCCTAGTGTCTGGTGCTCAAATGTCACTAGAGTCTTTTCTCTACTTTTTCTTTCCAATCAGGTAGCCCTGTGCCAGGAGCTGGTGTGGGGGCCACTCAAATAGACAGATGGCCAGGGCCTGATGCTGAGGTTGAGTGGAGGGATGGCACAGCAGGACTGCTGCTGGGAGGCTAGAGTTGGCTGGGCCCAGGGATCTCATGTGCCCTCCCTGAGGTCTAGGAGCACTAGACAGGGACCAGAGCACTGCCTTTCAGGGGTCTGTGCCCACCATGCCCCTCCCGGGGGTGAGTCTTAGAGTCATCTTAGAGTCAAGGTTGTCTTTATGAGACTCCCCCTCTCCCTGCTTCTAAAAAAGAGTAGCATGAATCACCGAGGTGGACTGAGTTTCTCCAAGCTCATAGCATAGCACCACAGACTCCTGCCCGCAAATCTCTTCCCCAGGGTACTCAGGAGAAGTAACAGGGCACAACCACATAGAAGCCACAATCTTGAGCAAATAGCATTAATAATGTCTCAGACCTTCAGTTTCTTTGATCTGCAAAGTTGGCATAGAGGTGTACTGATGGAAGGAAATAAAGTCACAGGGCCTGCCTCCTAGTCTGCCAGTCCTTGGCAGGCCCAGTTAAGGATGGGCTGCTGTGATCACCTTCACTCACCTTTCACCCACTTTCAGACCCTTATTTTCTCATTCCTAGAGAGCTTGTTCAATTATGCTCTGTCATCTGGTCCTTGGAGGTGGCCACTGAGTGGTAGCTTTCTGTCATTTTGCCCAGGTCACAGGTCCAGCATTTGGCTTTGGTTTTCCCATGTGTCAGTAAAGGATAGCCTCACTGGGGTGGCATTCAGGGGCAGCACCAATGTGTCTAAAGGTGAGTGGGTGGTGTCTCCACAGTGTGCGGGAAGCCCAAGGTGGTGGGGAAGGTCTATGGTGGCCAGAATGCGGAGGCCGGCCAGTGGCCATGGCAGGCCAGTGTACTCTACAAGAGTTTGCACCTCTGCGGAGCTGTCCTCATCGACACCCACTGGCTGGTTTCAGCTGCCCACTGCTTTTTCAAGTGAGTTCTCCTTCCCTGGGGCCCTCGGCAAAGGGGCTAACAGAGGAGGGAGATGCAAGGAGGAGATGAAACAAGGAGGCTAGGGGTCCCACATCTTCTCTAGGCTTGGGTCTGAGTAATCTCCTGCCATAGAATGGGTATGGTGCCTACCTTTGACCTTCAGTCCCTTTCACCTGCTGCTTAGTCCTATCCTCCCCACTTGCTGCTTAGTGCTCCCTTCATTTGTCTAAAACCCTCTCTTTATGCATTCTCAGTTCTGGAACTGAGAACCACACACACCCCTGTCCCCTATGTCTATGTCCCCAACATAGACATACCCAAGAGCACTGGTGGTGTTTGTCTTGGCCAGGGCTTCTTCTCACTGTCCCATAGACTCTTGTGAGTCAGACTCTAGGTAGGGACCTGGCACTCTGCACCTATGACCAGAAGTCAGGCAATTCTTTTCTTCATAAAACTCTGTGCCTGAAAAGAGCCACACCAGGTGGCCTGGGTGAGAAGAATAGGGCCTTCTGACCCTGGACAATGATATGGATAGTCAGGAGTCTGACTCCTCTCACCATCCTGGGCCTGAATCAGTGTGTAGTTCTGAATAGACTTGGAGGAATACAGAGGGAATAGAGGGCATCACAGTCCAGGTCAGGGAGTTGTAGCTTAGGTGTTTATTGGCTCTGAGACCTCCAGCTGGGTCCTGATAGCATTTACTCTATGCCATACTTACCACTATGGTACAGGGGGTTGCAAGACCCCCACATCCAGGTGAGGATGGGCTGTGGGGAGGGCTGAGGACCCTCAGAGGGGAGGCTTGCCAGAGGGGAGGCTAGTGCATGGGCAGTATAGTGAGGGCCTTCAAGGTAGGAGTCCTATGTGAACAAAGCCACAGGAGTAGAAAGTTTCTTTCATCACTCATTTTCAGGAGCAAGGAGAGCTTCTGTTTGATATACTCATCTGGATATTTATTAACAAGTCCTTTATAAGTGCTTACAGCCCCAGCCCCGAGGAAGCAACCATTGTGGAGGAGGCAGGAAAGGTGATTAGGCCAGACAGTGGGGCATGGGGAGCCTTCAGAAGTGTCAGGCTGGACCTCAGAGTGAGCCAGAACTCCTCTTGTATAAGATAAAGGGCTTACATTGATGAGCCCATCAAGGACTCTTCCAGCACTAGGATTCTCTGCTCCTCTGATTCTAGGGTATGATGGGGAACCATGTGTCATGAGGTTATGAGTAGACTACCCATTAGCCTCATAAAGAAGAACTCCTAATTGTTGGAAAGGAAGAGACAAAGCTGCTGGGAATCATAGCAAGGTGGAGGGGCCCACAGGGGTGGGGGGACTTAGACAAAGACACAGGAAGAGAGTGCTGCCCATTCTCAGAGAGGATAGTCATGATGGGTCCTTTCTTCCTCCAGCAAATCCCGGGACCTGGAGAACTATCGGGTCCTACTGGGAAACACCCAACTGTACCAGCAAACCCAGCACACCCAGAAAATGTCTGTGAACCGGATTATCACCCACCCAGACTTTGAGAAGTTCCACCCCTTTGGGAGTGACATTGCCATGTTGCAGCTGCACCTGCCTGTGAACTTCACTTCCTACATTGTTCCTATCTGCCTCCCGTTCCCAGACATGCAGCTGCTCAGTAACGCATCCTGTTGGATAACCGGCTGGGGAATGCTCACCGAGGATGGTGAGGGGGATGTGGGAGAAACTGGAAGACTAGGGAGGGAAGGGAGGAGAAGGGGTGAGGTGGAGAAGAGAGATAGAGGGGAAAGGAGGGTGACTTAGCCAGGCAAAGAGGGCCTGGCCAGTTTCTGGAGCCACTGGACCTTGGTCCTCTATACTTTTTTCAATGACCTATAAGATGAGAACCAATCATGCTGGCCCTTCTAGTTCTGAAGGTATATCCCACCTGTCAGTCTCAGGCTCTGAAAATTTGGGAATCTTCAACTTTTGGAATCAAGAATCTGAGTTTTTGAGTCTTCATGGGTCTTGATTCTAAAGTTTTAATCAGTTATGGATCTGAGATAACTTGTTCCACTACAAAGTCATGCTTGGGGGCTGGCCATTCTGGTTCACTACCAAATATCTTGATTTTTCCTTACCAAGAGCGTGCTTGGGCAAAATGGAAAGAAAACACAATGTGGCTTCTGACCTCTAAGCCTGCATGATTATGTTAGAATGATTACAACTTAGGCGTGTTTAACCTCTCTGAACCTCACCTTGCTCTTATCCTAACCTGGGTCAACTATCCATTTCATAGTATTATTAGGTGAACTAAATAACAGGAAATCAAGTTGTTTTCATTTTTTTTAGATTGAAAGAAGATAAATGTGGCAAATATTTATGTGACTTATGCACAAGAATGTTTCTTGAAGAAAGCAGTGTTTATAGTTTGAGGAAAAAAGAATATGTATATTCTTTTATATATATATATATAATTATTTGTAGGGTCATTATTTAGTACAGTACTACAGCTATTTTGGACTAAACATGTCTTCACTGAGTGGGGGCTCTTTTAGTGTCCCCAGCCTTTGCCTACTAAATATCAGAATCACTCCCTAATCATATGACAGGCAGCCCCCAGAATTCACACACATACGCACCTACAGACTGGTTATTCCTTGAGAGAAAAGGCCACATATTATTTATGTACACCAACCTGCACCCTGGGGCCTGGTACCACCACACTGCTACTAATTGGCCTGATAGACTACCATTTCTTGCCTGTAACTTTAAGGCCTTGTGTGATATTGATATCCTCCTTCGCTGCTTCATTTTCTACTGCTGTCCTCATATACCCTGTCCTTGACACTCAGGCCTCCTTGCTGCTCTATCAGTATGCCCAGGCCGTTTCCATAACAGGTTCTTTGGCTTTTGTGCCTTCCCTGCCTAGCTTTCTCTCCCCTATAATCTTTGCATAACTGGTTTCTTCTTTACATTTGCAACTCAGCTCCTCTTCTGAGTTTTACTTAATCACAGAAGCAAAAGTAGGAACCCCTATTACCACATCTCCCTGTTTTATTTCCTTCTTACACTTAATTTAAAATAATTTTATTTATTTCACTTACCTTGTCCCTATAATTATATATTAGTATCAAAAAGACACTTTGTGTGAGACTAGATAGTTGAAAGAATAGTAAGTGACCGGGTGAGGACATGGATGGGTTAGGAGGATGAGTGGGTAGATGGATGGATGAATAAATGTGTGTATAGGAGGATGGGTAACCACCTGGATGGATGGATCATGTTTGGGTGTACGGATAGATGGGTGGATAGAGAGACAGGTGAGTGTATAGATCAATGGAATGGATATATCATTGATGGACAGGAGGTGAATGATGGGTGAATGATGAATGACAGGAGGTGAATGATGGAGAGGTGAATGGAGAGACAGATAAAAGGGTGGATGGAAAGGCAAATGGATGGAAGTATGAATAAGGATATACAGGAAGAGAGGTAAATGGATGAAAGAATGGGTAAATGAGTGAATGGGTGGGGAGAAGGGTGGATGAAGAGTTGAGAGAAGGATTAGTGATAAATGAATGGAGGATGGATGGGACAGTTCATGAAAGGTTAGATGAGTCTGTGAATGACTGCTAAGCCCTGATTAGTGTGTCACATGTTGTTGGTGGGATTTGTCTCTTTGTTGGATAGGGGAGGTATGATCTATTGCTATGGGAGAGGTGAAAGGAATAGGACACATATGGGGAGGAGTCTGAGCAAAGGAGTAGCATATCAAGAATGGTCAGAAGACTGAAGCAGTGTTGAAAGCTCAGCTATTCTGAGCAAACACCATGTTTGTGGGGGTAGGAGCAGTCAGACAGAGTTGGGGTTCAGAGTAGCCTGGGTTTCCTTGGTTATCCTACAGGGCATGTCAACTGACCTCCCCCTTATCTTTGCAGTGTCTCTAACACCGCCTTTCAATCTCCAGGAGGGTAAGGTGATCCTCATTGAGAACATGTACTGTAATATCTTATATAAGCAAAGTATTGGCAACAGCAATATCCACTCTGTGCATAAGGATATGGTGTGTGCAGGGGACTTCACGACAGGAAAGTCCATCTGCAAAGTGAGTAAGGTCATTTCTGCTCTTCTATTGCCTGTTCTTTTGGTCTCAGCATCCCCAGAGGGGACTGTGTTACCTCTTCTCTCTTTGTCGAGGCTCCCAGACTTCGTTTCCTTCCCTTCAATGTCTTCCTTGGGCTCCATACCTCAGAAATCTCCCCCAGACTAGCCCCTTCCCAAGCCCATCCAGTGTGAGCATGTTCTGGAAAGACCCTCAGACAGCATCCATTTTTATTGCATATTTTAAACATTTTATTGCAGCATAATGTACATACACAAGAGTGCATAATTCTTCATAAGTGTATAGTTTGATGAACTTTCTCATACTGACCCCACATGTTGCCAGCACCCCAAGAGTCCTCTGCATGTTCTTTTTTTGTCACTAATGCCCAAGGATAACCATCTTAACTTGTAACACCTTAAATTAGATTCTGAAGTTTTTATAGTTGGCCCTCTTTTGTGTCCTAACATTATATTTGTTGAGAGTCATCCATGCTGTTACACATCATTATAGTTTGTTCATTCTCATTGCTCTATAGCATGCCACTGTGTGAATGGAATTCTATAATCACTGGGTAGATATTTGAGTAGCTTCCACATTGAAGTATTATGAGTAGCAGTGCTAAACACATTTTCATATTCATCTTTGGAGCAGAGATTAATGCCATATATGTCATTTCTTATTTTCATAAAACTTCCTGAGTAAAATTGCTGGAGGAAAGGGGTGTGTGTGTGTGTGTGTGTTCAGCTTTGGCAGAGGTTAGCAAAAATACCTCCCTTCTGCAATGGATGTGTTTATATTCTCACCAACACTTGATGCTTTCTATCTTTTCTCATTTTTACTATTTTGGTGAGTGTGAAGTAGTTGGTAGTTTTAATTTGCATTTTCTGATGGCTAATTAATTTTTTTATATATTTATTGTTATTGGATATCTTCTGGGAAGTTTCCCTTCAGGTTCCCCCCCCTCATTTTTCTGTTGGGTTGTCTGTCCTTTTCTTCTAAGAGTTCTATATATTATATACTCTAGATATAAGTTCACTGTTAGACATGTGGATTGCAAAGATCTTTTCCTGACCTCTGTAAAGTCTCCTTTTAGAAGTGGGAAAATGGAGGCCCAGTGAGGTAAAGTGGCTGACCTAAAGTGAGGTGGCATAATTTGGGCCTAGGTGATCTGAGTCCAAGGCCAACCTTGCCTCTACAGCATCTCCAAAAGTGTCCAGCCCCTGAGGTGGCTTCTGTAAGCTGAGCCTTTGTGTAGATGCCACTGTGGGGCAGAGAGGAAAGTCCTAGGACCCTGGAATCAGAGACATTGATCTGTCCTGTGACTTCAAACAGTCTCTTCATCTTCTGAGACTGGGTCCTTACCCTCTTCATGAATTTGTTGTAAGGATAGTGCAGTAGGTTGAATAATGTTCCCCTAAATTCGTGTCCACTCAGAACCCTAGACTGTGACCTAATTTGGAAAGAGAGTCTTTACAGATGTAACTAGTTAAGAATCTTGAGATGAAACCATCCTGTATTTAGGGTGGGCCCCCAAAATGACTGGTGTCCTTATAAGAAGAGCAGAAGCCACAGAGACACACAGAAGACCACCATGTGAAGACAGAGGAGAGTGGGGTGATACTCCACAGGCCAACGATTGCCAAGGCCACCAGAAGCTGGAAAAGATAGGAAGGGTCCTCCTCTAGAATCTTTGGAGGTAGAATGACCCTGGCAACATCTCGATTTTGGACTTTTGGTCCAGAAACCTGTGAGAGAATAAATTTCTTATGTTTCTAAGCCACCAAATTCATGGAAATGTGTTATAGCAAGCACTTGGAATGAGTACACTTAGACAAGGTCATAGCATTGCAAAACAACAGATAGAAAACATGAACTAGATCTCTCCTACTGCACAACCTGAGCCTTAATTTGTGTGGCCTATGGGAGGATTCATTGACACCACCATTTTTATTATTGCTCCATGAGCTGACTGAGCCAGAAGGAGGGAGCTTAGCCCACCTGCCTTCTGGTGGGAGTTAACCCCAGGTGGGAGTTAACCCCAGGTTTTTTGATTCTCCCTCCACACACACCCTCCTTTCTGGCTGTCTGACCTGTCCTATCTTCCTCACCCAGTCAGTTACATCTGCAGGTGAAACAAGGAGCCTGCCAAGTGCCAGGGTCTGGTGGCTTAACCACCGAATCCCCTGTTCTTTTCCTTTCCAACCTTCTTCTGCTTCCTTCTCTTGCAAAAATCATGCCTGCAGACCCTCAGCACCAGTGCCCTTTGACTTCCTGTTGGACATCCCACAGTGCTCTCCCTACTCTGTCCCTCCTCTAGTTCCTTCTAAGGACACCATTATGATGGCATTTCCTTAGCCTTTCAATCACCATTGCATACCTATGAGATTCCATCTGGATTCATCTCCTACCACTCACCTGCTCTTTTCCCCACTTCCACCCCAAGGCTCTCTTCTCTCCCACAAAGTACCCTGCCCCGCTGCACCTAGAAACAGCTCTGAGGAGAGATGGGGCTATGGGATGTCCCAGTGCTCAGACTGTAGGCAGGGACAGACTTGATTCCATTTTCACTCTGTCATTTGTATGTGCTGTGACCTTAGCTACATTTCTCCACCTGTGAGATGGGGTTGCTAACAGTCTTCACTTTATAAGATTCTTGTGGAAAATTTAGCAGCATTCCTGGCATTTAGCAGGTGCTTAACTAGTGCTGGCTTTCATGCCTGGGCTTGTCTATCTCCATTTATCTGAGTTATGCTTATGTCTGTGGGCTTGTCTTAGACCTGTCTTTTCCCCCATGGTGGAATTCACTGCCAAGGCCCCAGTGTGCATGTGTAGACACACACACCTGGTTTCCTCAAAAGTGCAAACCACAACTCACTTTGCATGGGGTAAATAGTGTTGGAACTTCCTTTGCATACTCAGACCTCCCCAAGGGTCTGGTCCACTGGAGTCTCTTCCTACTCCCCTCCACTGGCATAGAATCCAGCATGGTGTTGGCAACCACATGTTTCATCTGCATGATTGAGGAGAGCTGGAGTAGGGACAACTGCCCAGATGATCTGACCTCCCACTGGCCTCGAGCTAGGGTGGTGGGCAGACTATAGGGAGGGGCAAGGACAGTCAGGGTGGGGAAGATCTGAGTCAATGAAGGCACATTTCCACTCTCAGGAAGACCCTGTGTATGAATCACCACAAATTGGGAGGCCAGGACCACACACATATATTATCTTATAGTTCTAGATGTCAAAAGTCTAAAATTAGGTGTCAGCTGGACTGGTTGGAGGCTCTACAGGAGATTCTTTCTCCTGCCTTTCCCAGCTTCTAGAGGCTTTATGCATTCCCTGTCTTGTGGCTTCTTCATTCATCTTCAAAGCACATCAGTGTGACCTCTCTATCTGCTGTCTAACTCTGACCCTTCTGCCTCCCTCTTTCCTTTATAAGGAACTTTGTGATGACATTGGGCCTTTCCAGATACTCCGGAATAATCCCCCATCTTAGGATTCTACACTCAACTTCATCTGCAAAGTCCCTTTTGCCATGTGAAATAACATATTCACAGCTTCCTGGGATGAAGATGTGGACATATTAGGGGCCACTTTTGGCCACCATACCCTGTCACCCAATCCCTCCCCTCAGGCGTCCACTGCCCCAGCCCCACACTCCCTCTCAGGAAACCATCTTGTTTCTCATCTTATTGGGAAAAGTCAGGCAGCCAGACTAATGCTCACTCCTCCCAGGCCTGCATCCACTCAACTCACATCTTCCTGTTCCTGGGTGGACCCTCCTTGAGCACCAAGTACTCAGAGCCTTTCCCCTACTCTCCTTCTCATGCCTCTCATGGAGACACATAGCAGTAATATCCTCCACCTGCTGCCCAGTTTCTCTACCTTTCTCCCCTAAAGACTGTTTCTCTCTTTAAACAACTCTACTTGGGCTGTACTCCCATGTGCTGCCAGAGCCACTTTTTCTGGAACCTCTGCTTTGTGAGAGCCACTGCTCCCATGGTGCACCAGTAGCACCTGTCTCCTGACCCGGTCACTCCCTACTCTGCTCTGGCTGTCCCCCTACTGGTCACTAAATGCTGGAGACCCCTCTCAGCCCTCTTCCCTCTTTCTGCACCTTTTCTTTGTGGTGAGAATGGATCAGATTCCACAAGTCCTTTGGCTTTAAAATATCATCCCAAATCTTTCTCACTTGCCTACTATCGTCACTTGTTTGGTCTCCCTTCTCTAGCTGGTGCTCAGCAACTGTTCATGCTTCATACAACACAGACTGAACTGCTTAGATACGTCATGTGTCCCACCCCCCAGCCACAATCCTCCATAATGCCCCCATGACTCCAACCACTGGGTTTGCCTCCCTGCTTGTTTGCTCTAACTGCACCTTTACAGAGGCAGGTTCTATTTACTGTTTCCAGTACCAGCTCAGGAAAGCTTTCTGTGACCACCCTTCCACCTTCTGCAGGGTCTATTGGCTTATTTACATAAGCACCATGGGGAGAGGTTTTTTCTTTTCACCCTGTGTTTCTCAAGAGCAGTAGGCACTGCACTAGGGTGCTCAATATGTATAAATTGTGCCCCTGCCCTCCCACCCCAAGATTGAGATCCTCTATTTGGGCCTTATCTTTTAGCCTATGAAGTAGAGAGTTGATCACGACATGACAGGTGAGGACTGTAGTAACTCCCAGAAACCCCTGCTCACCCTCCTAGTGCTGTGGGCTGACTCTAGCAGGCCAGAGTCTGGGCATTTTCTAAAGGTGATCACTCAAGAAGTAGAAAGAAAACCAAAGGTCCAAATGAACAAAAAATAACCTACACGAGCTGGGGTCTGCACAGAGGCAAGAGCTGGCCCAGATCTGCTCACAGGCTCAACCTCTCCTGGGCCTTGTCCATACAGCTGCCCCCTCTAGGCCTTAGGTAGTATGTTGTCCCACACATAGGGCACAGGGGGCGGGGCTACCTGTTAACAGATTCAGATCCATGATTTTCTACCTTGAAAGTCAGCTCAGGAGCATCTTGACACCCCATTCCAGTGTCTCACCCTGGAGATGGTTGTCTGGTTTGTCTGTGGTGGGACCCTGACTCAGGTGGTAGAGCCACAAAGTACCCAACCTTGCTACCTGGTGTCTCTGAGATGCTCAGTCCCCAACACCTCTTTCTCTTTCTTTACTCAGGGAGATTCCGGGGGGCCCCTTGTCTGCTACCACCACAGTTCCTGGGTCCTGGTGGGGCTGGCCAGCTGGGGCCTGGACTGCCGGCATCCTGCCTACCCCAGCATCTACACCAGAGTCCCCTACTTTGCTAACTGGATCAACGAAACCAAAAGGCTCACTCCTCTTCCTGACCCTGCCTCCACTCCTCTTGTCACTGGGTCAGAGTCACAGCACCTGAGGGCTGCAGGCTCTCCTGGGCCCTGCACAGCGCTTATACCTACACAGACTTGGCTCCTGCTGCCATTTACCCTTAGGGCCTTATGGTGACCACAGAGCTCCACTCCTTTCTGCCCAGGCTCCAGTCTCTATGCTGGAACTTCCTCTCTCCAGCCCACCATCTGAGTGCTTCCTTTCCGGCTTTTCTGTCCATCAGCTGCCACTCCACAAACCAAGCTTGGCAAAACCAAACCAAATAAAAGACCCATCTGCCCCCCTCTGCTCGGCATAGCCCTCTCCAGCTGCTCCCCAACCTGCCTGTTCGCCATTCCTTTGGAATAATCATCTGAATTCCAGGGAAAGGGCATGGGCTGGCATACAGTCTCAGCCTCAGGCCCCAGGGGTAGGAGGCAGTCCAGACACTGAGGAAGCTGGGCTGCCAACTAGAGAGCAATCAGGCTGTGTCTTCCCTTGCCCAGTCCTTCAAAAGAGGTGAGACTTTATCCCTGGAGTCCACAGTCAGGGGAACAAGGGCCTCCCCAAAATAGAACAGCACTCCTGGGGTTGGAGCACTGACTTCCAGGGGAGACAAATGTTCCTGGAGGACAGAGTGACTGAGCAGGACTGAAGTAGGACCCAGGTTACAAGGAAGGGGGTTCTGGTCTGTGACTAGAGGCTCTCATGGGGTGGGGGGTGCTTGGAAAGTTGTTTGGAAGAAGAGAGAATAGGGTCCTGATGCCAAGCTGAGAGGTGAGACTTAGGTCAGCTATGCTTGGAGCTCTGCTCCTGGGGACAGTTCCCAGCACCTCATCAGTTGCCTCTGTAGGCTTTGTGGCTTGACCTACTGCCCACTTGCCCAACCCAATCCTACATGAACCTGCTTTGTCCTGTCTGAGGTCCCAGGCCAACCCCGGGAGTCCACCTCCTTGGTTACAGCCTGGTGTCACCCTATCTGCTTAGTTGACTCAGGACTTAGTGGCCCAGCAAAAAGCCTCAAAGTAGTGTCGTAGGCAGTCCTTCCATCAAATCAGCCATACAAAGTCCTGTGCAGCCAATAGGAGTCCAGGCCTCTAAGTGCAGTACCCCTAGCCTTCAGAGACAACATTAAAGTGGGAGAGCTCCCATTTCCATTCAAAGGATCCAGAGCACATTCTTTCCAATCCTGGTATTGCCCAAATTTCATAGACCCTCACCAACAGGAAAGCACAGATGGACTCATGTATATCAGCACCAGGGTTTCACTGGCTTAGACCCTCTGCTACTCATGCAGGAACTCTCATCCCAAAATAATCTTGTAAGGCCTGAATACAGCATCTGGCCAGCATTCACTCCTGTAAGGGCATTTCTGGCGGTCCCTGACTCTAGCTGAAGCTCCACCACAGAGGCAGCACAATGCCAAGTTGTATCCCCACTACTAGTAGCCAGCCTTAGGGCCCAGCAGTCTCTGGAAGGGAGACAGCAAGTATTTGCTCCTCTGGCAATAAGCTCAGTTATAGGGTCATCACAGGGCTGCTAAGGACTCTGGGATGTCAGTGAGATAGTATGTCATCCATATGTGTTCGCCACAAGCTTAACAAAGTTTGAGTGGTCAATTTTAAGTACTAGCTCCATTGGCTCTAGATTCACTATTCTCCCAACTTTAACAGCCATAGGCTGGCTATACTCTGAGGGCCTTGATATTGTATACCCTATTACAGGAATTAAGTGATTTCCTACCCCCCAGTTGTTCTCAAACCTCTAAATCATAGGGTCCCAGAATATACCTAGTTTACATGACAGATTAACCAAGTCTCAGCTCCCACAAAGCCAGTTTCCCCACTACCTGAAACCAACTTCAGTACTCAGTATTCTTATCCTGGTTTGGTTTCTTTTTAAGGCAAGCTGAAGCCTATTAGGGTAGCTTCTCAGAGATGGCACAGATAGTTAAGTAGTGGAACAAATTCAAACCCAGATCTCTCTTGAGAGAGCCCAAGCACCATTGTTCTTCCTGCTCCTAAGCCTGGTCCCAGATACCAATTATCCAAACCTCATGCACCTGGGAGAGATTTACTCTGCCTATCCCAAGAATGAGCCCCAGACACCCATTCCTGAAGAAAGAGCTTGAGGAGGGACTAGAGGGGCCCTGGGGACATGACTGGACACTAGTATGGGCTGCTGCTCCTACAGCCAGTCATCCCAGACAAGCTATGGATATGAAGAGAAATGAATCAAGATCAATTAAAGACTTCCAGCTTCCAGGCTGAAGCATAAGGAGCTTGGAAGTCATTACTCTCTTTCCCAAAACAAGAAAATAGTTCAGCAAATGGAAAATTCTTCTTATATCTATTGGAGAATTGGGGTCACAGGGCAAACTACTGCCCTGAAAATTTGAGACAGGCAGATATAGAGAAAAACAGCTTACCTATAGGGAAGCTCAGGAGTAGAAACTGTCCACTGGAGCCAGTAGTAGAATATAAAAACTTTAACTATAATTTATAAAGTACAGAAGGTCAATATAAATGAGCTTTAGAGTTAGAAACTTCAGGGCCAGTCTTAAGGTGACTCCAGACTTTCATGAGTTTTACTTTTCAGAGTCTTATCAGGTTTTCAGGGTATAGATCAGAGAAAAATCTCATCTTGTTTTGGGCAGGGAGAAAAGCAAACATTCTAAAATATGACCAAAACATAAGTTCTACTCTATAAAAGTCTGCCCGCAAGAGATACTGTTTTTATCAGAGCCTAATTTATTGGGGTTTTATCAGAGTCTACTGACTGGGGAAAAGGAAAGTGCCAAATACCAGTCCCCTTTTGCTTTCCTGTCCTAGTAGAGGTGTGGGTGGGGACTACTTTTCATGTGAGAAGCACATATGAAGGTCACAGCATAGGGGCACAGGCTCAGTAGAAGACTGAAACCTACTCATAGAACTGTAGAACATTTCTCCGACATATACAACTTACCACCACTTTAATGGGGCTCCTATATAATAATAGAGATTACAACAGAAGGAACTGCCTATCTCAGCGCTTATCTAACAAAGTCTATAGAGAAACTCAATGACAACAGGAGAGATAAAAATGACACTAGAGTAAATTTAGCCTCTAATACAGCAACACCAAACTATAAACACAACCTAACTGCCAGCCAGATAAACACAGAACCTTACACCAAAGACCTATTTTCTTCTGTTACTCCATTGTCTAGCTTTCAACTCAAAATTACAAGGCATAATAACAGAAAAAAGAACATGGCTTGAAAAGATAAAGCAAACATCAAAACTAAATTTAGATATGGAAGAAATTTTGGAATAGTCAGGCCCAGAATCTAAAATAACTATGATTAATATAGTAATGGCTATAATGGGAAAAAATGGACCACATGAAAGAAAAGATGACTAATATAAGCAAAGTGATGGACACTCTAGGAAAGAATTAAAAGATAATGCTGGAAATCAAAAGCACTGTAACAGAAATAAAAAATGCCTTTGACAAGTTTATCAATAACTGGACATAGCCAAGAGAAAAACATCATGATTTTAAAGATGTATCGATAGAAACTCCCAAAAGTAACATGCAAAGAGAAAAAAGCATGACAATGATAAAACAGAATATTCAAGAACTGTCAGTTAATTACAAAAGGTGTGACATGTGTATAATGAAAATACCAGAAAGAAGAAAGAAAAAAGGGAAAGAAAAAATATTTAATATAGTAATGACTAATAAATTTCCAAAAATTATAAAAGTTACAAAACTATAGATCGAGAAGGCTCAGAAAACACCAAACAGGATAAATACCAAAAAATGTTATACCTACACATGCCATATTCATTTATACTGCAGAAAATCAGAGACAGAGAGAAAATCTTGAAAAAAGTCAGAGGAAAAACTCATCTTACCTCTACAAGAAAAAGGATAAGAAAAATATTAGACTTTTCTCCAGAAATTATGCAAGTAAAAAGAGAGTAAAATGAAATATTACAGAGAAAAAAAGTCCACCAACATAGAACTCTACATCCTGTAAAATTATCTTCATAAATGAAGGAGAAATATTTTCTCAGACAAATAAAATTTGAGAGAATTTTTCACCAGTAGACTGCCCTTGCAAGAAATCCTTAGAAAAAGTGGAAAGTCAGGTTGGATAGGTACCTCAAAGTTAGGGAACCTTTTACCTGTCTGCAAAAAAGCAAGACCCCCACCTCTGCTAAATTTGGAAGAGAAAACAAATAAACAAATAAAAAGATTAAAATTAAGAATTCAGCAGTATTTGACAGTGGGGTCCTGCCAATACTGTCTTTTCAAAGGCCAGAGCTAGAAGGATATGCTAGACTGCGAACTCTTTACCTCCTTGACCAGACCAATGCCATGGCCCCCCAGCCAGTCCATTCATTGCCATGACCCCACCAACGCAGAGATAAGAAAAATAAAAATGAAAATAGAGAAAGAAAGTTTAAATACAGTTATATAGGATAAAGAAACTACAGGGATATCTTAGCTGTTGTCTGAGAAATTTTTGTGTGAAAGATGAGAAAAGTGGAAAAATCTCTACCAAACTAGAGAAAAAAGGAGAGAAATAAAAAAGAAAGCGTGAATGAAAGGGGCTAAAATACCATAACAAAAATGGAGGAGCCCTTGCTAGTGAATAAAGTAAAAATGAAAAAATAAAAATACCAAAAAACAAACCCAAAGAAATATGTGTATAACTATAGCTATATATTACATGGACACTAGGTGGTGCTGTGATCTTAAGTGACAGAGAACATAAACTGGTTTGCTGTGAAAAATTAGGGCTGAAAGTCACTCTTTTGTTTCAGAGGTGAACAAGTCCTGTCTTTCTAACTTGTTGCCCTTAATCAGAGCTTGGTTGTTTCATCACTATTGTGGCACTGGAATCCTAAATTGCTCTCCAGATTCCCTACTCAGTGCCTCCTGACAAAAACTCCCGTGGCCACTCAACTCACCCCCAGGGTAGATACCCAAGCTCAGCAGGCACACAAAACTGGTCACATCACTAGTGCCCCACAGACCATTTTTCCCACATGACCTACCCACAATGGCAGTGCCTAGCTAGCAGTCAAGAGGATGCTCAAGCCACCCCACCCAGTACTCACCCCCAGCTGGTGGACCCTGTTAAAGTC